GTGTGATCCCCCCACGGCCCTGCTGTGGCCCAGGTCGGGCGGCCCTCACCCCTTCCGAGAGGGAGGGAAATGGCTTGAGCCAAGCTGGCTACGGGTCCTGCTCCTCATCTTCCTGTTCCTCCCCGTCCTTCCTCTTCCTCCCCGTCCTTCCTCTTCCTCCTCTTCCTCCTCTTCCTCCTCCTCCTCCTCATCCTCCTCTTTTCCGATCTCCGTGAACTTCAGCCTTCCCCTTTGCTGAAGACTGCAATGATGGCCCTGCGCTATAAGCCTTCAATTCTGGAGGAGGGACGAGAACATCCAAAACGAGGGGCGATGCCCAATGTAAGAACAACAATGTGGGATATCATCAAAAATCCTACTGTTGGCGTCTGTTCGTGTCGGGCGTGTCTATCGAACTCTCTGGCGCCTCTGTTCAGAACAAGCCACACATGGAAGAAATATGGCGGCACCAAGCAGTGCAGGAAAGGAGCTCGGTACTCGGAACTGTGTGCGATTGGGCCTTCCCCCCTCCTGCCCTCCTGGCCAAGGTGGGAAGGTGATCGCATGCCCTGATGTTGCGTAGAGCGGACCTGTGTGCCCCCTCTGGCGGGTTCGAAATCCTCTCGATCATTCCCGCGGCAACCTAGGAGGAGGAGGAAGAAGAGGAGGAGAACGAAATGACCAATACGACGATGAGGACGGTAATGACAAGGAGGAAAAGGAGCCGCATGGGATGGGGAAGGTGGCAAGAGACAAACTTCGCTGGCTCGGCTAACCGGCGCCTCGCCCCCATCCCCACTGTTCTCCGCGCGGGACAAGTCACGATGAATTGCGCACGCAAGCCCACAGCACGCAGTGACTTCTAGAAGCAAGATGGCTGACCTTGGGCCACTGAGGCACTATGGATATGATGGTGATGACAAGGCCCATCAGGTTACCAGCCAACATCATCTGCGTCTTGCTCAGGGCGTCGTACCTCATTTGGGGCGCGGGGGAGGTCCACGCACGTGCGGGAGCACACGAAGGCCAGGGGGAGGAGGGCCCAATGGGCTGCGGGGCCTCAGGAGAAAAAGCCACAGAGCGCCAAGCGCGGATGAGTTGTGCTCCGCTTGCTACCCCGCGCACCTCTCGGACGCAAAGCGGGCCCAGCCGCAAGGCCTTCCTTCCTTCAGCAGCTCCGTCCTCCTCCTCCTCCTCCTCCTCCTCCTCCACCTCCTCCTCCTCCTCCTCCTCCTGCTCCTGCTCCTCCTCCTCCTCCTCCTCCTCCTCCTCCTCCTGCTCCTCTCCTCCTCCTCCTCCTCCTCCTCCTCCCTCCTCCTCCTCCTCCTCCTCCTCCCCCTCCTCCTCCTCCTCCTCCTCCTCCTCCTCCTCCTCCTCCTGTTCCTCCTCATTCTCAATCTCTTGCCCTTATAAGCAACTCCTCCTGTCGCGCCCCCAGACGCGCTGCTAGGGCGGGCTTGGCTCTTCGCCTGGGACTTCCCCACCAGTTATGACCCTGAAGTTCGAAATCCCACCAGCCATCTGAACGCAGGTGGTCTAGAGCGTTTCCTCCTCCAGGTCCTCACTTCCTCTATTCGGGGAGGTCCCCCCCCCTCCGACTGGGGGGGGGGCGAGGGGTTAGAGCCCCTGGCGTACCTACAAAGGCTCCAAGACGTCCTCAAGGCGGTTAGAGGTATTCCGAGAGCCTTCAAAGGCCCTCCCAAGAGGCCAGAATCCTTCCAAGATCGAAGGAAAACAATGTGTGCGCGTGTGCTTTCGCTTCCGATGGTCTTTCGAAGGCCTCAAGATGACCCCGCGATGGCCCAAGAGAGGCCCAATTTGCGCCATGCCCCCCACCCACCATGACTGGTTCATAAGGTAAGTCGTTTTGGCGTCACAGGCGTCGATGAGCTTCGCCCCGATTTCCGCCGGGCCCCGATGGGGCAACAGGTCCTCCCATCGGCTTGACCACATTGCCCAGGGCAAAGAGCCGTTGGCAGCGGGGATTGGGCGCTTGGCCCTCCGCCCCGTGGGCGGGGCCCTCCAGGACGGGCCCTCGCCCTCCCGGCGGCCCCCTCGCCCCCGCCGGGGGGCCCTCTTCCGCGGCCCGTTCCTCCCGAACGGTCTTCTGGACGGAGTCGAGCACTGTGTCCATGAAGGCCTGCAGGAGACAATCTTCACCACTTGCTGCTGGACCCCCCCTCCTCCTCCGCCTTCTCCTCCTCCTCCTCCTCCGCCTTCTCCTCCTCCTCCTCCTCCTCCTCCTCCTCCTCCTCCTCCTCCTCCTCCTCCTCCTCCGCCTCCTCCTCCTCCTCCTCCTCCCCCCTTCCTCCCCCGTCTCCCCTACAGGAATGGTGGGGGCATACCGGTCAGGGTTCTGCGGCCCGACCTCCTCCTCTCCCGCTCCCTCCTCACCCGTGGTAGGAGGAGCGACCGCCGGCGGGGGCAGACTCGTCCCGCCCGGTGTCCTCCTTCGGGGCCGAAGTCCCCCGCGGGTCTTTCACCTGACGGCCCGCTTTGCGGTTTGATCCGCCACCGACCCCGGCATCCCTTCCGAGGCGCAGTGAGGTCCCTGCATCGGCGACCACCGACGCTGTTCCCACTGGGCCGCGCCCCTGACGGTCCGCTTCCCGGGCAGGCCCGTCCTCGCTCTGGGGATCCCTTCCGGGGCCGAACGCAGCCCCCGCGACGGCGACCGCCGCCGCGCCTTCCACCGCGCCCAGGGGCGCTCTCTCTCTCTCTGGCCCACCGGGGCCCGGTTTCTGCCACCACCGCAACCGCAACCGCGATGGGCCACCACCACCAGATGGCAGGCGCACGCGAGTGCGCGCGGGATGAGGGGATGGGGGCCACCCCAACCCCTTCGCAAAAAGGTCGAGAGCAGCAGCCGCCCAAGCCGGACAGCTGCCAGGGGGATAGAGGAAGGAGCGGAGCGATGCACGGCAGAGGGGAATTATCCCGTTAATGGGAAGACCCCCTAACAGAGTCAGATATGTAACTGTGTATATGCAACGTGGATATTGGGATAATTGCTCAAACCCGACGAACCGCACTCACCCCAGTTTTTGCTTCAGTCACGGCCCCCTTCTGGTCCAGTCGACCAAGTCAGGAAGCGTTTCGTTCAGCACTTCACGGCTACCCAGATACATGAGCTCGCCCCAGAGCTTCTTCGAGGGCTTGTATCCCATGTAACCCATCGCGAATTCCTCAGTGGTCATGTCCGTGAAGATGTTCAGGCCCAGCGTGTAGATGAGACCCTCGTTGTTCTCGCTCTCGACAAACTCGAGATTGTCTGCGGACGTCTCGACACGCGACTGGTGCTCCATGGCCTCGTATTGTTTTACGAAGTCAGCCCGGAACATTCCGAAGAGCTCCTCCACCTCAGACAAGGGGCGGCGTGCCTGAGCCAGCGCAAAAGAATGCCGAGGCGACAGAAAAACGCATCATGCTGCCAGAACGGACTAGGAGGATGTCTCTGAGTCAGGATGCTGGATCGCTCCTTCGGCAGCTGGCAGCTCGGTAAAGAACTTGAGCCACAATGACTACGGAGATGAGGCCCTGCCGTCCGTTTCCAACGACAGCTTGGAACGCGCGTGTCAGCGCCAGCGTGTGTGATTGTCCAACGAAGGTCTTCGGTGCGTGGACAAAGGAACACGGAAGCCGCCAAGGGCTCCAACGTCATCGGCACAGGCTAACGAAGCAAATCCGCACTGGTCTAGCCTCTTTCCCCCGGCACTCGAATCCTCGAAGATCAAAGCAAAACGCGAACAAATCTGGCACGAACAATTCAAAAATCTCTGAGAGCCAGCAAATCCAATATTATGTGCCAGGGCCGGCTCTGTGCGTTGGCAAACTGTGGAAAAGGTTCTAGAACGAACTACTCGTATCCTCAGGCTGCCCGACCCTCACACATTAAAACTGTTCTCCCTTCCTTCTACCCCCCCTTCAGGTGCCTCTGGGGTTTGGGCTGCCCCGGACGGAGCGCCATTCTCGGCCACGCTTTGCTCATCACACCCCTGTATTATCCTTCGGCCCCTACTGAAGCCCCAGAGAGCACTTTTTGTACAGCGCCGTCTGCCAATTGGAGGTGAAGCTATCGCAGGCGAAGAAGACGATCAATAAAGCGATGCCACATAGACCTGCTGTAAACGGATATGTTGACGTCAGATGTAAAGAAGAATGCACGAAGAGAGAAAGAGGCGGAGAAGGGGTGAAGGTGACGATGAAAGATGAGAGGCACATGAAAAAGGAGCAGGCACAGGAGGATCAACAACCAAGCTTTGGAAGAGCACCAGAGTCCACAGCTTTGCGAAACGGGAAATTGCAAATATGTAAGCAGATGAACGACGCTTCGCACTCGTCAGTAGCATGATAGACTACTGTCGTGCCGCTCGACAGGATTATGATGCCGTCGCTGCGCTGCGGAATGCGGAGTCATCAGGGTTGACAAAGCCTTTGTAGCAAGTATGCGGTCACGTAGCAGCAAAGCTAGAGGCACAGATGCAACAAAAGGCTGGTTATGACAATGATTGGCGGCTCAGATTAAGATGGACAGAGCACTGATATGGTAAGACGAATCGCGTATCACGCATGCTGCCACAGGCGTACACAAGCCGGACAAAAACCACATACACATGAAGTAGATCCGCGCGACACTCGTTCGCACTTAGTTCCCTGCTACCGTAATCCTATCGACAGCTAACCCAAGGCCGCCTCCTCCTGCTCGACCCCCCTCTCTTCACCCAATCACTCTTAGTATCGTCGTCTTGTTGTAAGCGGTCCTACTCTTTTCTACCCTCCAATTTTGTCACATGTCTGATCTCTTCTCTCTCTCGCCAGTGTCCTTATCATTCCCCTTCCTGCCCACTCCTCTTCACTCTGCCATTTCCCCCCTCACCTCCTGCTTTTCTTCCATTTTGACCTCCCACCCCCCCTCCTCCTCGACCCCTTTCTCTCCCACCTTATCCTCCCCTCACTTCCTCGCTACACATTGTATACCACATGTGTGGTCTCTGCTCTACCCTCCTCTTTCATTTTAACCCCTATTCGCACCGCATCCAAATTCCAAGCGCCTGACACTTGACGTCTCGCATCTACCAAGTCCATAGACCACAACCCTTGCAACACGTCACCAGACCAGTCATATCGGTTCTCGGGAAGGTTACGCAGGGATAAGTGCGACATCCTGGGGCAACCTTGGGGCCATGGGAATCGGTATGGGGCGTATGGAAATCGTCTACCAACATCCTGGCGCATTCAATGGCCATCTGGGCAGGCTGTTTGGTGTATTTTCTGGGGCCGTCTCGGGAGTTTCTTGGGGGGACCGGTGGCCTTCCGAGACATCTCGGGGCTAGATCGTGTTTCTTCGGAGCCCATGAGGACCATCATGTGGCGGCCAAATTCACTCGACCCATTTGTTCGAATAACAAATCATAACACTATCCGTCAAATCGGCGCGGTGACCTCATACGAAGACACGATTTCGAAATGGCATGGAGCAAAATCACGGATCCAAAAGTCCTCGTCGGGCTGCTTGTTCTCAACTACGACTTGCCCAGTTTTCGTATGTGTTCCTTTCATGATTTGAAGCCCCATCTCTCCAAATGTTTGCTGTTTTTACCTAACAGCTTGTTCTGATAGGTTTCTAGTAGGGTCAAAAGAGAGCAGCAGATGACTCCACAGGGGGGTCTGGGCGGGTGCCGGACAGGGTGCCGCAGAAGTCGTTTTAAGCCAACAGTCACACACTTCGTGCTCTTCGACCTCCCAGAACTCCATTCCCGGGCCACATTCTGAATGCCCGGAGCCAACTGTAGGCCACTTCGTGCTCTTCGACTTCCCAGAACTCCATTCCCGGGCCACATTTTGAATGCCCGGAGCCAACTGTAGGCCACTTCGTGCTCTTCGAGTTCCCAGAACTCCATTCCCGGGCCACATTTTGAATGCCCGGAGCCAACTGTAGGCCACTTCGTGCTCTTCGAGTTCCCAGAACTCCATTCCCGGGCCACATTTTGGATGCCCGGAGCCAACTGTAGGCCACTTCGTGCTCTTCGAGTTCCCAGAACTCCATTCCCGGGCCACATTTTGAATGCCCGGAGCCAACTGTAGGCCACTTCGTGGTCTTCGAGTTCCCAGAACTCCATTCCCGGGCCAGATTTTGAATGCCCGGAGCCAACTGTAGGCCACTTCGTGTCTTCGAGTTCCCAGAACTCCATTCCCGGGCCACATTTTGAATGCTGAGGCAGGCTGAGGCTGAGGCTGAGGCAGGCTGATGCTGAGGCAGGCTGAGGCTGAGGCTGAGGCTGATGCAGGCTGAGGCTGAGGCAGCCTGAGGCTGAGCCGAGGCTGAAGGCAGACTGAGGCTGAGGCTGAAGCAGGCTGAGGCTGAGGCTGAGGCAGGCTGAGGCTGAGGCAGGCTGAGGCTGAGGCTGAGGCAGGCTGAGGCTGAGGCTGTGTCTGTGACTGCCGTTGCCACTGCGACTGTCATCGCGAATGCGACTACGACTGCGAGAACAGCACAATTCTACAACTGGATTCTCATCTGAATCTTAAGGGGAATGCTTCCAGATATGCTCCTACACATCGCTGTTAGGTTGCTTTGCCGGGATAATTTTTATCACGTCCCGTGGAACGCCCAGAAGGTTGCCGCAGTAGCACTCTGGCCACTGGGCCCGATTGTACAAATGCTCCAGCATGCTACTCAAGAGCTCCTTGTCGATCTCGGTCAATATTCTGACGTGCTCCTCCCGTCCAAACACTTGGCAGGTGCACAACACAACGTCACGGGCCATGGCAGGCCTAAAGCAAATGTTGGTGTTTGTTTGTATAAACACAGGCACGGGCAGACGCATGGCAGCAGTGCGCGCGCGTTGTCAACTCGCACAATGGTGTGAGGATGAACAGAAGGAACGCGATTGGGAACGCGTTGCACACCACAGCGTGGGGGTTGAGGTACAGCGCTACAAAACCGGAACGGTGAAAAATTGGTCACGCAAAGGTCGCAATAGCGATAGGGGCAGCAGACGAAACTGAGCTGCTCACGCGCTGCAGGCTCACCCTTTTCAAGCAGCTCGCCGGGAGCTCGCTCACGCCAGCGTGGTCACCATCACCCAGCAGACCTCCGACAGCAAACCCTGTTCGCCCCAAGTGCTTCACAAAGAGGTTCAGATACGGGGTGCCAGCGTCGGTGTGTGCATTGACGACCTTCAGCCAGACCTTGCCCACTGCGAACCACTTACCGCTGCCGCTGCGCTCGCGCTGCGCTCGGAGGCGGTACCCCCCCGCCCGTTGCGCGTAGGCCCAAAATCCCGTGATATTCACTTCCGTGAAGTAGATATCTTGGCACTCTCCGCCTTGTCTGCTCGCCACGGCCGACACCCGAAGCAGTGCGTTCTCGGCGTCCGACTCGCGAGGGACGTTTACCAACACGTGCTTGCCGGGCATCATCAAGTCGAACCGCTGGCCATGGATATTCTGCAAGTGAGGATCCCCAACGGCAGTAGCACCCCCAGCAGCCCCGCCAGGGGTGGTGGCCTGCGCGGCTGTCGGCGCCGAGGTGGGCGCTGGCGTGGGACTGGGCGTCGGGCTGGGCGTGGGACCGGGCGTCGGGCTGGGCGTAGCCGGAGGAGCGGCCACCTTCAAATAGCACTGGCCCTGGATATGATTGACCTCCGTGACTTCACAATCCAAATCTCGAAAAGCTTGACCACTCTGAGAGTTGGTGATGCTTGCGGGCCGGATGCTGGCAGTGTTGGGCGCCGCATAAATATAGCATCCTCCGATTCCATGTCCGAATTGGAAAGCTTGACACCACGAGTAGCTGGAGCAGACATCCTGACAGTCCGCTACATCGTAACCCAAGTCGGACCAAGCCGACGAAACGTAACGGTCCACAGCACCATCGCCAGTGCAACGACAATCTCCATCACCAAGCAATGTGTACGAGGATGTGTGGGTGCCCACGTCCAGCTTCTTCTTATTCTTCTTCTTCTCGACAGTTTTCGCGTCGACCGTGGCGTTGAGCTTAGCGAGCTCCCTCTCGAGGGCGGCGGTATCGTGCGTCCACATCGATATCGTCGACGGTCCCCTGGGCGACGGCGCGGCCCCCGCGTCGTTGCGTTGGAGGAGGGCCTCGATCGAGGGCGTGAATACCATCACCAGAAAAGTGGTCCGTGCCGCCTTCCAAGCGGCCACCATCCCGCTAAATTGTGCTGGGCAAAAAAGAGGAAATCGGAAGTCCAGTTTGCAGGAACACAAGAACCCTGTTGAGTGCTCTGATTTGGCAATCAATGCTTGAGCCAAAATGGCTACGGACTCCAAATGTTTGCTGTTGGTGCGTTTCTAGATTAGCAAACGTCTGGTGCAACAACCGAGGAAGCCGCGCGTCATACTTAAATGTATATGAGCCGATGTCGAGATACTTCGCCGCCCTGCGTAACACCCACTCCATCCTCGTACTTTGGGTTTCCAGAAGGACGCACTGGACTGCCCTTTGGCCGAAAGCACGAGCCCACCTGCGAAAATCATCGCGTTCCTTCGAATCCCATCATCGCATCATTCGTCGGGAAACCAAAGTGCTCCCAAAACCAAATTACACAGCTGATAACTCGCCCATTGATACAGAAGCTGGGTCATACACTTCCCATTCTGAGAGCTGCTGCTTGCGTGGCTGCTGGCTGCGGCATTCAGCCCACGAAAAATAACTGCGAGGGAGCGCGATCCATCGTCGCTCGCCTGAACGCTTTCTCAAAAGGGGGGTTAGAAACCAGGGTGCCCCTCCAACTCCGAAAGGGAGTGAGAAACCAAGGGGCCCCTCCCCCCCCCAAACACCCCTACCCCCACCCCACCCCGCCCGTCTGGGCAGAACCTGGGGGGTCCAGACCACCCCCCACCCCCCACCCAGCCACCCACCAATCCACAAGCCCCACCCCATGGCGACGACGATGAAGACGACAACGATGATGACGACGACGGCGACAGCGGCTGCGGCGGCGGCGCACCTGTCGCCAGCGCCCGCGCCAGGCGCTGGCTCTGATAGAATGCTACGAAAGCTCGATCCAGCTCTCCCAATATGCTACGGGAGCCCTACTGTATTCTACCCTGCTTTACTCTACTCGTCTCTACTCTACTCTACTCTACTCGACACTCCTCTACTCTACTCAACTCTGCCCTACTCTATTCTACCCTGCTCTACTCTATCCCACCGTACACTAACATACTCTGCTCTTCTCCTATGTGCCCTTCTTCTACTGTACTCCTTCTACTCTTCTCTACTCTCCCGGACTCTACTTTACTCAATGCTGCCTTACTCTACTCTGCCCTACTCTACACGACCCTACCGTACCCGAACACACTCTGCTATGCTCTACTTTGCTCATAGTCGACGCTATTATACGCGAGTTCATTATACCCTACTACTCTACTCTACTCTACTCAGCTCAGCAGCTGTACTGTTCTGTATGTCTCCTCTACTCTACCCATCTAGCATCCTCTACTCGACTCGACTTGCCGTACTCTACTCTACCCGACTCTACTCTACCCTGCCGTAGCCTAACATACTCTACTTTACTACATGTGGTTATTGTTTGTAATTGATATGCCCCTTCTCTACTCTACTCTACTATAATATGATTCGCCCACCTCTACTCTACCCTACTCTACCCTGCCACACCCCAGAATGCTCCACTCCACTTTGCTCCTACTCTACTCCTACTCTGCTCCTACTCTACTCTACTCTGCTCTACTGTACTCCACTCGGCTCTACTCAACTCTGCTCTACTATAGATCCTGCTCAACTCTGCCCACCTGCTCCTCTACTCGACTCTTTCTCTACTCACATCTGACGTACACCCCCTTCTCTACTCTATTCGACCCTACTCTACTCCGACCCTACCGTGCCCCACCCTACTCTACTCTACCCTCTACTCTACTCCTACTATGCTATACTATACGCCTACTCTACTCTGCTCGTTGTCGCCGTCGTCGTCGTCTTCTTCGACTTCGTCGTCGTCGTCGTAGGCGTCGTCGGCGTCGTCGGCGTCGCGTCGGCGTCGTCGTCGTCACGTCGGGGTCGTCGCCGTCGTCATCGTCGTCATCGTGCGACGTGCGTCCTGCGTCCTGCGTCCTACGTCGTGCGTCGTCCGTCGTGTGTCGTCGTTCGTCGTAGTCGTCGTCGTCGTCAGCTTCGCCGTCGCCGTCGTCGTCGTCGCGTTGGGGTCACCGTCGTCGTCGGTCGTCGTCGTGCGTCGTGCGTCGCGCGTCGTGCGTCGTGGCCGTTGTCGTAGTCGTCGTCACCGTCGTCATCGTCGTCGTCATCGTCGGCGTCGTCGCCGTCGTCGTCGTCGTCGGCGTCGTCGTCGTCGGCGTCGGCGTCGGCGTCGGCATCAGCGTCGTCGCCGGCGTCGTCGTCGTCGGTCGTCGTCGCGCGTCGTGCATCGTGCATCGTGCGTCGTGCGTCGTCGTCGTCGCCGTCGCCGTCGCCGTCGTCGTCGTCGTCGTCGTCGTCGTCGTCGCCGCCGCCAGGGGGGGACCCCCCAGTGATTTTCCCGGAGCGCGGGGGGGTCTGGACCCCACCAGCTAATTTTCCCGGGTGGGGGGGGGGGTTCTGGACCACCCCACTCATTTTCCCGGGGTGGGGGTTCCCGGGGGGGGGGGTCCTGGTTTTTGGACGAGGCCAGCGGCAGAAAGCTCTCTGTCGTACCTGCCGATCTGGCCTCCCATATATACAGCAAATGTGCCCGGGCGATCGGAGTGTAGCCTGTTTCATTCCAATCATCGGTGATGGTGCTGGATCCCGCCGGTGGCTTAGCCCGCATCAGGTAGAACGCGCTGAACATTTGAAGCGGGTCGCGCCATGGAATGAAAACTTTGACGTGTGAACCGAACATCGCCCTGCAGTTGCGTGCTGAGTTGCTGAACAAAACTGGTCGAACCACTTCGTCCAGGGCTGACTCCAAAAGTAAGTGCGGATAAGCAATATGTCCTGCTTCGGTGTGCACTGCCCTTCAAAACAAAAGTGCTTATCTGCACTCGTCGGGCTCACGTCGTTGCCCACGCTGTGGATCGCGATCCCGCTCACAACTGCGAGCATGCTCGAACCCGAAGTCTTCGCCATGGGCACCTCGGAGGACTCTACATCTGTCGTGTCTTTCGCCACACGTTGCATCATGCTGCAGTCGCACGTGTATGCGTTGACGAAAGAAGGTGGCGAAGACCATCATAGCCTGATTTACCGTGACCAGTGATGCCGCGATCACAGGAAAATGGTCGGCATGTGTAAGCACAGTCTCAACTTGACACTTGAGCCAAAATGGCCTGAGCCAAAATGGCTACGGATTCGGAGCCTCTCAGGGGGTGGGGGGGCGCTGGCAAGAGTGGCCTCGGGACGAGCCCAGCGCGGGGCACCCCTCCAGAGCTATAAACTTGGCAGGTCGCAGCGATGCGGGGCACAACGCGTTCGAACTGGAATGAGCGCACCTGTGCAGCTGCAAGGCAGAGCCACAGACGTCCAAATCAATCAGGTTTCGGAGTGATTTTCGCCACGCGCCGCCCCCTCGAGCCCCGAAGCGGTGCCCTGGAGTGCCTTATTGGGGCTCGCTTGGACTGCGTTCGGTTCCTTCTCCTCCTCCTCCTCCACCTCCTCCTCCTCCTCGTCCTCTCCTTCTTCATCCGCCTCCTCCTCATCATCAACAGCCGCATCAGCACCTGCATTAGCATTAGCATCAGCATCAGCATCAGCATCACCATCATCATCATCATCATCATCATCATCATCATCATCATCAGCATCATCATCATCATCATCATCATCATCAGCATCATCATCATCATCCTCATCATCATCATCATCATCATCGTCATCATCATCATCAGCATCAGTATCATCATCATCAGCATCATCATCATCCTCAGCATCGTCATCATCATCGTCATCAGCATCATCAGCATCATCATCAGCATCAACATCATCATCACCATCATCAACAACATCATCATAGCATCATCATCAGCAGCATCAACATCAGCATCAGCATCAGCATCAGCATCAGCAGCATCGTCATCATCACAATCAGCAGCATCGTCATTAGAATCATCATCTTTCGTTAGCAGCATCATCATCAACATCATCAGCATCATCAGCATCCGTAGCATCGCCATCATCAACAACATCATCAGCAGCATCAACATCACCACCATCATCATATTCACCAGCAGCATCATGTGTATCAGCAGCATCATCAGCCGCATCAACATCACCACCATCAGCATAATTACCAGCATCACAATCATCATCGTCGTTATCATCATCAGCAGCAGCATCGTCATCGTCATCGGCATCATCAGCAGCAGCATCAGCAACAGTCTCATTATCATCGTCATCCTCAGCATCGTCAGCATCGGCGTCATCAACAGCATCATCATTAGCAGCAGCATCAACAGCAGCATCACCAGAACTAGCAGCATCGTCATTACCACCACCACCACCAGTATCAGCATCATCAGCTTTGCCATCATAACCATCATCAGCATCATCAGGGTCATCGGTATCACTAATAGTATAATCATCATCAGCAGCATCAGCATCATCATCATGATCAGCAACTTCAGAATTTTCATCATCATCGTCATCGTCATCGTCATCGGCATCGGCATCGTCATCGGCATCGCCATCGTCATCGTCATCGTCAGCATCAGCATCAGCATCATCATCCTCATCCTCATCATCATCATCATCAGCAGCAGCACCGGCATCATCATTATCAGTAGCAACATCAGCACCATCATCAGCGTTCCCCCTCACGCGCCCTCACCTCCAGATACCTCCAGAGACATGAAGCATTAAAACTATTCTGGCTAAGACGTTGAGTTTCGCGCTCAGCCTCACGCCAGCATGTTGTTCCTGGCGAGGTCCCGTAAGAAGATGTCAAGGAAGTGCGAATCACACGCCTTCAACATGCGGTTGATAATCCCACGAGCCTTCAAGCCATGGGCTGTTTACCAAATCAGCTGTTCCAAAACAACCCACCTTTACTTCTGGGGAGGGCTTGACCTCCCCCACCTCCTCTATGAGGGTCTGGATCAGGGACGTCGCGAAGGCTGAAGAGACCAAGATGGCCCAATATGTCCCCAAGATGGCTCCAGGTAGCCCAAGATGGCCTCCAAGATCGCGCAAGACAACCTAAATTGGACCAAGATGGCCCCCAACTGTGTATGGGGTTGAAGTACAAGGGTACAGAACCCCTGATCCGCTGGTAGAGGGAAGGAGGGATAGATGGATGTCTTCCCCTCCTGCACGATCAAAGGTCTGATCGATCTGTCCCAATACCTGAGCCCAAACGGCCAGGCGCAGGAGAAGTGAGGATAAGGAGTATATATGAGGGTATTACACGGGTTCTATTCACACCCCCCGTCCCGAATCCCGCCCGTGAGGGTAGGACTCGGGAACAGAGGAAAATAATCCGTCACCCTGTTACTCCTTTCATCCTTAGGTCTGCAGGCAGCTGAGCTTAAAGTCAGTATAGCATCAGCTGCAAAGTAAAGTAAGAAGGAACACCCTGGGCCCCCATTTCTTCGCCAAGCGCACTTTGGCGCCCCCTCGGTGCGCCCCCCAAAACGCTTCGGCACTCGAGGGCGGAGAAGAATGAGACAAGGGTGGGCGGAGAAAGAAGAGCTGAGCAATAAAGCAACTTGTAATCTGCCTCGCCTTTGCGAGGCAGGTGTTGCCACCAGCTGTCAGATTATTCTCAACGCAATGTAGTTATACTGTAATGAATATGCACGCTAAGATCGCGTTGATGAGCACGATCGTGCTACGGAACGCAACTACATGTAAAAGCAAATGTCTGGCCAGACGAAATGTCGCGTTGATAAACACGAAAGCTGCATGTATATAAATTCTATTTGGCGACCCCCGTTGGCGTTGCTCCTTAGGAGGCTGCCTCGGCTATCGCAAAAGATGTTTGTATATGTGGCCACTTGTGTTGTATAGCGAAGTGGCCTAGAAGTATGTAATAGCCACCGCTCAAGGCGAGCTTGAATTATAATGAAGTTCAAGCCTTTGAGCGGCGGGCCCTGCGGCCGACCCCCTACGCGTTGCCGTTCTCGTAGAACCTGCGGTCCCACATCCTCTGGCCATTGTACGTCACGTAGCTCGTCGTGAACGTCTCCCAATATGTCCTCGGGATCCAGTGACGAAACCAATCGTTGTACTGGATGTCGTGGATGTATACGAACTCGTCGTTGTTCATCGCGATGTAGATCCAACAGTTGATGTAGTAGCTCAAAATACCTGAGACCCCAATGACTGTCCTCAAGGTCGTCGCGCCAGTAGGCGGCGTAATCTGCGGTACGCGCTCTCTTGGCGCGCGGCCCCGCGGGCACGTGGTCCGCCGCGCCAGAGGCGCTGGACTGTGCAGCATCGCCAGGGGCAGGGCGCGGCGGCGGCGGTGGATGGCGCGGCCCCATGGCATCATCAGACTGATGGGAGTGTGTATCAGGTTCGATCGGATCGGTTCTCATCCCTGAATCAACCCCGCTCTTGTCGGTATGTGACGGATCGAGGGAGCCCAACAACTCGTTAGCAATCGCAGCAAGCTTGCGCTGCGTGACTTTCTCACGGGTGCCATCCCTTCTAGGGAGGGCAATCGTGACAAGTCCGCGAGCCTGCCGCGTTTGCCTGTCGAGTCTGCCCTCGTTCAGCCACCATTTCTTCCGACCAGCTTGTCCTGCCCTGATGCTGGTATCGAGGATCGTGCATGCATCACGCATGTCGTCCACGTTCCAGGCCTTCTTGTCCACGTTCACGCGAGCGCCTGTCATTTGGTGGTGGAACTTCAAATCGTTGAGAAAGCGCTGAACGAGATTGGCATATGGGTAGTACAGAGGTCTGTCGTCACCAGCCTCGCCCATCAGTCTGCACTCGTGTGCAGGAGGGCGACCAGAGTCGACCCACTTCTGATACCTCTTCCTAGACGCATTAGCCATTCTCCTCAGCGAATATTTCTCATTACCTGGGAATGAGCGCGCGCCCGTCATAATGACTTGCGCTCCGTCTCTCATGCACCTCGTGATGTCATCCTGGGAGAGCGCCATCTTGATCCAGTTGGTCAGCTTGTGGAGGTATGCTAGGTCGCTCTGGGCGGCGGTACTTTCACCCGTAGCACCTACGGCCACGGTGCACTGCCAACAGATGTCACAAAGGGCACCATCACCTGTGACGATCCCAAGGGATAAGTCTCGACCGCAATTCCGACACCGCGCGATATCATGCAGGATCGTTTCTGGGGCTCCCTCCGTCGCGAGGTGCTCACGGGATCCCCAGCGAGTATCCTGACCACGAGCAAGACAACGGCCGATCTGATCCATGGCTTCGCAGTTGATCTCGGCATTCGGTCGTGAAGCGATTGGCCTACTCAATCCCTCGATCTCGATCCTAGACAATCTTTCCCCTGGCAGTCCTATGTGCTCTGTTGTGTCGTTGTCCGCACCCTCGGTATCACCATGGCATACGTTTTCAGTACGGAGACAGCGAGCCTTCTCTTGCAAGGCGGACTCGTTGTCGCCCTCCTCGCGGTTGACTCCCGTCTGCTCGGCTATGATCCGTACCGTGGTTTCTTGATCAGGAGCTGCGGATGCAACGCTGACTGGGTCCTGGGGAATATCCTGCTCCGCGCCTGGGTCACGTGGCGCGGCAGGTGTTTCCACCAGTTCCTTCCATACGGGGAAGTCTGGGTTACCGAATGTGTCGATGCAATGTTTAAACAGATCACGCAACGTTTGTAGTGCAGGATGTTTCTGGTGGATGGCAGCTTTTGTGAAGTCACGGAGCTCCGCAATACTGTCCATCAATATGTTTTGATATACTTTGGAGATCCATTGAAAGACGCCTGTAGTCGACTCCTCGATGGTCTCTGGGTCCAGGTAGTGTACCAACTTTTTGAAAAAGCGGTCTGCACTGCAAATTGGCAAGTCGCGTGCCCATTTGTGGGTGTGATCATAATTCAAATAGTATTTCTCTGCATTCCATGCTGTGGATCCAAATTGAATCTCAAATCGTAAGTGCGATTGTGTTTTATCAACCACAATTCTGTCCGCGCCAGCGTGTACCTCAATGATTCGTTTCATCTTTATCATAGGTGAATCCACCACAAACTCCGACGTCCAGCGGTATATGCGGCGGTCGTATGACTGTTTAATCCACCTTGAATCCTCCTCTGGGTCGTAGTCTGGGTGGTTGAGGAAGTCTTCTGGCGGGTCAATAACGTTGTCGAGTATGCTCGCATCAACGTGCTCGTCTGCTTGGATCTCTGCTGATAGTTCTGCTCTCATATT